CATCGGGCTCCCTGCTCGGCAGGGAGTCTGCTTCTCCCTCTGACCCTCCTGACCCTCCCCCCTCTCATGCTCTCTCTCTCTCAGTCTCTCTCTCTCAAATAAATAAATAAAATCTTTAAAGAGAAAAAAAAAAAAAGCATGTGTGAAACCATGAGAGACAATGGACTCTGAAAAACAAACTAAGGGTTCTAGAGGGGAGGGGGGTGGGAGGTTGGGTTAGCCTGGTGAAGGGTATTGAGGAGGGCACGTTCTGCATGGAGCACTGGGTATTGTGCACAAACAATTAATCATGGAACACTACATCTAAAACTAATGATGTAATGTATGGGGATTAACATAACAATAAAAAAATTTAAAAAAATAAATAAACTGTGGTACATCCAGAAAAAAAAAAAAAAAAGAGCATGTGTGATGAGCTTCTTAAAAGGGGGCTGTGAGAAAAACAAAATCAATGCCCTTCATTATAGACAGAAAAAACAGATCCTTCCAGATACACAGCAGAGTTGAGTCCTGTCAGGACAGAGAGGCGGGCCAAGATTAAGCCAAATCTAAAGCTGCACATTGGATTAGGAAGAAGTTACGGGTAAGAGGAGAGGAGTGAATGGTCAAAGATCTATGGAGAGGTCAACAAGCAGTTCAGTGTTCAAAGGATGCAGAGAGACCTAAGAGGTATTTATGGGAACATCTGGGTTATTCTCGCTTTGCCCTATCGCCATTCAAGTTCTATATTTTCCTTAAAAATAAACCATTTCTTTTTATTCTGTGGTTTCATGCTGTACATCTTTAATGGGCTCCTAAAACTGGGATAATAATACCTAACAAATATATACCACCAGGTCCTCTAATGTGCACTTCGACAGTTAATGTTGCCCCATCATAATGTATGGGAACTCGGGGGCAGATGGTGCAGTTCGCACCTCAACGAACTGGTAGGATGATCTTGGCCAAGTTATTCACCTTGTCCTTGCATCAGGTTCTCCAGCTACTAACATGCAGATAATAGAATACCTACTCCTTAAGGTGGCTATGAAGATTAAAATTTAATACCCATAAAAGGATTAAACAGTCCTTGGCATTTATAAGTACTTAATAAAAGCTATTATCATTAACAAGCGCCTCATAAAAAAATTGATGATTTCATTAAAAAGTTTAAGTTAAAATAGCCAATGCTCACAGAACACTCGATAGACGACTTGCGATTTCTTTTTTTTTAGGATATAAAATGTAAGCTATCTGCTTCCACAATGAAACATCACAGGAAATGTGCAAATCAACCACTTTGACGGATACAAATTTGACATTTTTCAATACGAAAATATTTGATTAGATTCACAGAGAAGATGTTTTACTCACATCACCATTGAAACGTACTAAATCAGAACATGTTTTATTTTGAAACACAATAGACTAAAATATATCTCTATGATAACAAAAGGGAGGGCAAGAGTATAAGGATAGTAACAAATTTTACATCATAATCCAGGCCAATGTCTGTTTAGGAAAATAACCTGTATTCAAGTATTTTGTAAGAGTCATTGATATATCTGAAAACATAATTAAAATGTAAATGGAACCTTAGCAACTTAACCTACTTACAGTACTGCCTTAAAAAAACTAATACCAAGGGCGCCTGGGTGGCTCAGTTGGTTAAGCGACTGTCTTCGGCTCAGGTCATGATCCTGGAGTCCCTGGATCGAGTCCCACATTGGGCTCCCTGCTCGGCAGGGAGTCTGCTTCTCCCTCTGACCCTCCCCTCTCTCATGTGCTCTCTCTCATTCTCTCTCTCTCAAATAAATAAATAAAATCTTTAAAAAAAAAAAAAAAACTAATACCAAAGGATTCTGACTCAAACTTAACATTGAAACTTCTCCTAGCCAGCAACTTTAAGTATCTGAAAGTCACACAACTCATTTTGCTTGAAAATATATGATAATATATTTATGCTACCCCCAGATGATTTTACCCCAGTCATCCTAATTAGTGAAGTCCTTACCATATGACTCTTCTCTTTTGCTAAAACGATGAGAAATTCTGGCATTTAGGTGTGCAATCCTACTTGGGACACTGCCCAGCTAAAATGAAAACCACTTAAGGCACATGTTAAACAGCATTATACGAAGAAACTTCATTTAGATAAAGAGAGACAGAGAAAATTGGACTGATTTTCCACGTAAACTCCCTGGGTGTTTTTCTGAATGTCTGGATAAAAGCAAGTTTGTGAATGATCCTCCATAGCCTACTCATCCATTGTTGCTATGGAATGCTCTTTATAAATATTAATGTTTGCAGATGAAAAAGAATCCATCTCTATCAAGAACATGCTATCTAAATTTTGAGAAGATTAAATATGTTGATAAAAAGCTAAACAATGAAACATTTCTTCAATTAAAACATAAAAATTTAAATGACGGGTTTTTTTTTTAATTTGAAATTATTTTGACACAAGGATATTAGCACAAGATCAGCCCAAGTTACACTGAACTGGTTAGAATTACAGCTTGGAGACAGATAGGCATCATTTATAAGATTATAGTCATTTTAGTGAGTTTAACTGAAGGCAATCAACAGCATCACTGCAAAATCTGTGACTCTGAATATTGATACACTATTTAAAACCCTGTTTCAAAAAAGATAATTAAGATGACTTGCTGTTTAGTCAATCCAGCAGGAAAAGGAAGATAAATAAAATTTTTCAAAATTAGCTTGAAGCAATAGAGGAAAATTTAGTAATATTTACCTTTACCTCGGGAAGCCCGTCATGGGTATTTCTTCCTTATTTTGTTATAAATATGTTTGTGTGTATGTATGTGCACCAAATTCTTGGTTTTCTTCTCTCATACCCCCTTAACATGTAACATAAGATATATCGACTTTACATCACAGTATTTAAGTATTAGCTTTATAACACAGAGTTTAAATTATGGGATATTACGGAGAAGAGTAAATATTGCCCAAGAACTCTGTACCCTTTTTTGGGGAAATTGTTAGTGGATTTTCAGTTGTACTCAGAATCATCATGTCATGGTAGGCAGAGCTGCAACCTTGCTGCTGTCTTTATTTGGAGATTAAGCATGGTTTAAGGAGATGCACACAGGTGCTGAGTTGACAAGGGGAGGACCTGGGATGGTTAATTTTATGTGTCAACTTGCTAGGCCGCGATATCCAGATATTATTGGTCGAACACTATCCTACATGCTTCTGTGAACGTATTCTTTAGATGAAATTAACATATAAATCTACACTCTGAGCAGCAGATTACTTTCATAATATTGGTGGGCCTCATCCAATCAGTTGAAGGCTTAATAGAAAAAAGTCAGACCTCTCCAGAAGAAGAAGGAATTCTGCCAGCAGTCAACTTTCAGATTTGAACCATAGCATCATCAACTCTTCCCTAGATGTCTAGCCTGTTGCCTTTACCATGCAGCTTTTGGATTTGCCTGTGTCCACAATCACATGAGCCAATTCCTTAAAATAAATATCTATCCATCGATACCTATCTATCTATCTATCAGCTCTGTTTCTCTGGAGAACCCTGACTAACACATAGCCCTATAGTTAAGGGCTGGAACTCTATATCCAGATAACTTGGGTTCAGTCCTAATTCTACTATAAATTAGTTGGGAGACACAGGCAAGTTACTTAACCTTATTGGGCCTCTGTCTCCTCATCTATAAAGAAGAATAATAAATATTATCCCTTACCTCATAGGATTGTTTTGAACATTAAATAAATTTTATACATGGGAAGTGTTTATACAAAGCATGCTCAATATGTTGGACCTTGTTCTAAGCACTTAGTAAATATACACTATGATTTCTAAGCTTCTTCTAACATAGCTAGTAAACTAGCAGTTAGTCTTAGAAACCAGAATAGTATGGATAAAGAGATTTTCTTTAGAAAAAATTTGCAAGGTTGTGTGGAACTCTATTTTCGTAAGAGATATTCAAGATAAAGGAAAACAACATATAGGTTCTGGAAATATCCAGTTCTTGAATGGATTTTCAATAATTAGCATCTGCAAATGGGGAAGTGAGGTGTATCTTCCTTTATGCAACAGGGATGTTCTTACAAACATGACTGACAATAAATTATCTAAAAAATCAACCATGAAACCACTGATAAACTATAATCTAAGAAATGCTTTAAACTTGTTTTTTTAATTGTCAGCACTTCTTAACATCTCTCTCTGTATTTATAGTTTATACTTGGCCTCTGTATATTTCTTGCATTTTTCTCATCTTTTCTGCTTACTACCCACATATACTCTTGCCCTATAATTTCATCTCCTTCCCCTGCAATTGTCTGCCAAGTGAATACTGTTCGTGTTTTTGTTTATAATGTCTTGCTTTTATTCGGAAAAAAGCCTAGCTGAACATTTATTTCCTTTTGGCCTGGGGAAAAACTTCATAATATTGACCCAAAAGCTGAAAACTTATGGAGAAAAAAAAAATGATCAAAATTATGACTTAAAAGTTGAATGCCTAATATATGTCAAAAAAGATGACAAAGAAAAATTTAAAGGTGCATAACATAGGCAGGCAGCACATTTCTTATATGCTGTCACGTATGTGATAGAAAGAGTAATGCATACTGTTATTTTATAATGTTTTACACTTTACAATAACATTTATTCCAAGAATTTCATATTAACTTCAGAACAATCTTATAAAGACGGTAGAAAGCAGGATTTTTCAACATCAACACTAAGGACAGTTTGGGCAGATAATTCTTTGCTGTGGGCAACAGCCCAGCACAGCAGCATTCCTGGTTTTTAACCATGAGATGCCTGTAGCCACCCCCCATCTATCCCCACTCCCACTGTGACAACCAAAAATGTCTCCAGGTATTGCCAAATGTCCCACGGAGGCACAGATCATCACCAGTTGAGATCTACTGCCAGAAAGGAGTGACAATTGGTAGGACCTTTTGTTTACAAATTAGGTAAAATTCAAAGAAGTTAAGTCACTTGCCCAAATACACCCCTTCTCTTAATGACCTATCAACTTGACAATTCTAGGACACTGCCATGAATGCTTGGGGTAAGACACTAACCACCACCTAGAAACTGATTGTGATGTTTGCGTGGCAACTCTCTGATCTTCTAGGCACTTCGGAACTCACTTTTTCCTCAGGTGATCCAGCCATTACTTCAGGCTTGTGTTTTCTCCCAGAAGGAAAACACGGCATTATAAATTCCAAGTTAGAAATAGACAATATGAAAATTTATCTAGGCATAAAATATATTTGTATGGTGCCTGCCTATAAGCACTTTCTATCTTAATTGGGGCAAGATTTATGAAACAATCCATCACTCTCACTAATTAGGTAGCTCATAGGCCATCCGACCAGTCTGATTTCCTCTTTCACACACATATAAAGCATTGAAAACATTCTTTTTATAGAAGCATGATAGCAAGAAACCTAGCCATACACTGAAAATTAAAGGCAGAGTTGACATTCTGATCATTCGGCCAAAAATACTTTCCAGCTCCTCTGGAAGCTCCGTGAACTTGCTCAACAACCCAATGGTGTGCAGACTTACACAGTGTAATAAACAGTATTTCTTTCTTTCACCCTATCAGCCTTTCTCCATGTCTAAAACAATACTAGATTCTCAGCTTAATATTCTAAACACAAACCCTTCATACAACTAGTCAACCACTGTATCTGAGTCGTGTTCCACCTCTTTCCAAACTGCCTCTCAACAACAAAAGTAGGGAAAAATGGAACTGTCCCATGTAATACATTACCATCCGTGTGCAGGCTGATAAGATGAAAACGGAATATTTGAATGCCAGAGGATTAGAGTTACAAACCATACCTTCCATGACATACACCAGGGATCCCACATCTCCTTCTTTGATGATGCAACTGTCTTTGCCGTACTCCACTGGGTACATACAATCCACAATCTCCTGGATCTGCGACAGCTCCAGGTTCTTCATAAAGTCATTGTCAAGGATAGCTTCCTTTATGAGATCCTTGGACCTAGGGAAAGAGAGGGAAGATTTATTGGCACAGCAGGCAAGCGTTTTCATAGTCTGAGAAGTTTAGCAGCACCGTACGGTGTTCTGGCACACTAGGCATTTTCTTGTTAGGCATCCAATCATTTTCTGAAAGACCTGAGAACAAAGTAATTCCGCGGCCATCGGAAAGGCACTGAGAAATTCTCCTTTTAAACAAAGTATCACTGAATGCACGTGTGACCAACCAAAAACAAGCAAAAGCATATCATACCATTTTGTTTGAGAATATGTTTTAATCACAAAGACTGTGAGAAAACCAATGGACAAGCACTTTAAATTGATGTTTGCAATTTAGTTTAAGAATAAATGTGAAAAAGATACAAGAGAATTTTATGGAACAAACGCTATTACCACTATCTCTACATATAATAAAAGAACATCAGGATGTATTGTACTATACACCAGCATGGTAAAAAACAATTTGTTTACTTATTTTTTCTGGCCCTCTTCCACTAGACCTTATGCTCCGTGAGGGTGGTCATTAGTTTTTTCTCTACTCTATGCCAAGGGTCTACTCTAATGCTAGAGTATGGGTGTTCAAGAATAATATTTTGGTTAAAAAAAAAATTCTAAGAATTGGATTCCTAATTAGCGGTTTGAAAGAACTGGTAGAAATGTGATAGTTCTTTATCCATACCTTACACATTTTCGAGAAAATCTATTTCTGCAAGTGGCTTAAAATGAGGTAACCAGGCAGATAAAACCATTGAACAGGATGTTTTTCAACATGACAGGATTTAGACATGGATGAAACAGGCAGTCAGTGGGAAAGATATTTACAAATTCTATAATTGGGATTCAGTGGTTAACAGGAAAATTTTGCAGAGCTTAAAGATGGTGATAATTTGATTCTCGGGGAGAAGAAGTTCCAAATGACTTCCTAAGGATACAAAAATTAAAGAGAAACCAAGAAACGTCTTGTCAGGAGGAACACAATCAGAGAGCTGTTGGAGATAAGATGAAAGCAAGACCTTAACAACACAGAGTGGAAGCAGTACGTTTGGAATTTTATATTAAGAGTGTTAATTTGACAAGTATCTGACTATGAGCTGGTCCTTGTCCACCATTTACTTCACAAGTGGTTCTCAAAGAAATGACCTGAGTAGTGAATACTGACTAAAGCGTTAGCCCTCTCCATTTCCGGGTGCCTTTTCTTCTAGGCCTCAGTCCAACTGGACTATCGCCATCACATGTTATGTTTTGTGATGGTTTTGGTATTTAATAATAAAAAGGTATATATAAAAAATTAAAACAAGTGAAAATTTACCATTATGAAACTATACTTAGAATGGACTGTTACGATGCAATTAAAATTGTTTATGAAGACTGTTAACGGCATGGGGGAAATTCTTATACTATTTTTAAGTGAAAAAGCAGAATACAGAATTGTTTTTAGAGGAAGAGAATATTTTATAAGAGAATGTAGAGATGAAAGAGAAATTTAGATAATAAGAAAATTTAGAATAAGAGAAAACCAGGAGGTATCACGTCACGTCTGCTAGGATGGCCATCATCAAAAAGACAAGAGGTAACAAGTGTTAGTGAAGATGTGGACAAGAGGGAAGCCTCGTGCACTGTTGGTGGAAATGGAAATTGGTGCAGCCACTGTGGAAAGCAGTAGACAGGTTTCTCAAAAAATTAAAAATAGATCTACCATATGATCCAGAAATTCCACATCTGGGAATATAACCAAAAGAAACAAAAACACTGACTTGAAAAGATAGCTGCATCCCCATGTTCACAGCAGCATTATTTACAATAGCCGAGACAGGGAAACAACCTAAGTGTCCACTGATGGATGGACACGTGGTATGCACGGGCACTCGCGACACACACACACAATGGAATATAATTCCACCCTAAAAGAGGAAATCCTACCATTGATGACAACCTGGATGCACTTTGAAGCCATTATGCTGAGTGAAATAAGTCAGAGAGAGAAAAACAAATAGTGTATGATCTCACTTATATGTGGAATCTAATTTTACAAAGACACACACACACCAAACTCACGGAGCAGAGATGAGATTTGTGGTCACCAGAGGTGGGGAATCAGAGAAGAAGGAATTGGAGGAAGGCTGTCAAGATGCACAGACTAGCAGTTAGAAGGTAAGTAAGTACAGGATTGTGACGCAGAGCATGATGACCGCAGGTAACACCGCTCTGGGATACAGAGAGAGAATTGTTGGGGAAAAGTTTTCTCTCTTTATTGTATCTATAGGAGATGATGGTTGTTAACTAAAACGTACTACAGTCATCATTTCACAATAAATGTAAATTGGACCACCATGCTGTCTGCCTTAACCTCATAGAACGACACGTGTCAATGATTTCTCAGTAAAACTGGAAACAAATTACCAGCTCGATGGAATTACATGTGAAGACTGGTGCAAACAGAATGTGACTCTCAGTAAAATGGTGGGTGAAGAAGGTGGTAATAGTATTAACTGCAGTAGCAGTAACAAAATGGGTAGTAAGAGAGTATGCAATCATGACCTGAAACAATTTTAGAAGGAAATAAAATGTTGGCATCAGTTGCCTCTGGTGACAGAATTATAGGGCTCCGTCAGTTAAGTGTCTGACTCATGGTTTCAGCTCAGGTTGTGATCTCATGGGTTGTGAGATTGAGCCCCGCGTTGGGCTCTGTGCTCAGCGTGGGGTCTGCTTGAGATTCTCTTTCTCCCCCTCCCCCTCCCCCCACTTGCGCCCACTCACTCTCTCTCTCTTAAAATAAATAAATGAATAGAACTATATATTTTTTTCTTTCTACTTTTCTCAGTTGATAAAATTTTCTAGAATGGGCATGCTCTTTTATATTGAAAAATCTTTCATCTTAAAGGTAGTTTATAAAAAGCAACTGCTATGAGGAGAAATAAAAAATAATCTCATTTAATTCTCATTTAAATAATGACATATTTAATACAGATTAGCTATTATTGGCATATTCAATATTATTCTTTACAATAGATTCTTGTTCATATGGTCTGTGTTTAAATACTAATGGTAGGAATTTTCACCTAATAAAGAGACAGCCAGTCGCTAGGGACTTCAGAATAGACTATTTTAAAAGTGAGACTTTTACTTTAGTCTGGCAGGGCTGCTTAGCTGTTTGTTTGTTTAATTTCAGCTTGCCAAAACTCTATTTCTCCTGAGGTAAAGAGCTGTTTCTCTTGAGTCTTCAACACAAGATGCAGAACTCTGTTCCCATGTATGATTTTCATGAAATTTCCTTTCTTAATTCTCTTCACCATCTCTGACCTCAAGAATGGCAGTAGCACCTTCAAAGTCACTCCTGAGATCTACTGTTCTAGGATCACGTTTCCAAACATCAGGACTTCCTTGATCTTCAGGAACTTAATTTTAATCAAAAGAGTATAAATATCCTCTTGACTAAAAATTCCTTTGTTTTCTTTGCATTGAAGAGCGAGGTCATCAATAGGTTCATTTTTTTTTTTAAAGATTTTACGTATTTGTCAGAGAAAGAGAGAGAGAACACAAGCAGGGGGAGCAGCAGCGAGAAAGGAGAAGCAGACTCCCCGCCGAGCAGGGAGCCCGATGCGGGGCTCGATCCCAGGACCCCGGGATCATGACCTGAGCCGAAGGCAGACGCTTAATGACTGAGCCACCCAGGCATCCCAGGTTCATATTTTCTAATATAATAAAGCCTGGATGCTATCAATGCCCAATCCCAAGTTGTTTAGCTACAGATGGTATCTTATCCCTTGGGAAATATTAATAGTGCTCCATTAAAAATCTAAGCCCTAGAAATGCCACCAGCTTAGAAGTAAAGCCCTCTTGCAAAAAAAAAATAATTCGCTCATTCCAAGGATGACTGAAGAAAGCTGCTTTCTCTTTTCTCATAAGTAGTACTATTAACTTGTTTCACAAAGACATCAGAAAAGGTGAAAAACAATGCGGTCTAACACAATCTCTTAGATCCAGATTTTCCAAATGCTTACCACAAAGTCAGTGGGGAAGGGGAACTTCAAGAGGCTCTTGCATCTCACATGTCTTTTTAAATGGAGGACATTCAATCTTAAGTCTCTGAAGAAACACATTGGAGGTGTTCATCTATGCATTTGTAGTCACTTTAAAACAAACTGAGAAATACACAACCTACGTCTTATCATTTATCCCTTCGCACAAGTCTTGTCCAATAACACGTTCACCTCTGAAACATCACAAATCATCCATCTCGTGCCCCTGTGTGGTGTAACTCGAAGATGTTCTGGGTGGTGAGAAATACTTAATGCCCTGCCTCTTCATGCAATTTTCCCTTAAGTCTTTTCTCGCAGAGAGCTTGAAATGTTAGGTCAACTCTCATTAGTCTCCACCTGCTCCAACCTTATAGACTATAATCAATCAGAGCCTCCACCTCACAGTCCTGTGAGTCTTTTTCTTCCCCTGAAGAAACAGTCGAAGACACTCACTGTAACTAAAATATGATGGTGCACGTGAGACCTGTGAGCTGTGTTATCGTCGGTGTGGGAGCTGGGGAGAGCTGCTATCACAAGTTCCAGAAGGCGGCTATCTCCTCTCGGAGCACATATTTTAACAACATGCTGCATGAATGCGGCAGCCCGACCTGGGGGCTGTAAGAAGCAAATACAAAGATCTTGATTTTTGATCCTTCCTGTCTGCTTCTGTGTATAAACAATCTCTTAAAAATTTTTTTCTTCCAGGCTCCAAATGTGTGGCTTTCAAAATACAAATACAATAAAAAGAACTTAGTTATTTTGAGCTAGCCCTGTTGATTTGTCATCATCAAGTTGTCAGCCTCTGAAATATTGGCCATATACAATATTGTGCTGGTAAACTGGCTCTCCAGAAGGAAAAAAAAAAAAAAAAACCCTGGTTTGTAGCATTTGCCAATTTTTATGGTATAAATACTCCCACCATAGCCAATTTCAAGCTACTAATGTAAAGTCAACCTGCTTGCAAAATCCCTGAAAATTTAACAAG